GGCTGTGACTTAGGTGGGGGTTCTGCGCGCCACTTTCGGGTGACGTCCTAGCTTTATCACTGATACTTTTTGGGACTTCAAACATGTTTGTTGTGACTAGGTTTCTCCATCAGTCAACCTGTCAAAATGGGCCTGACGCTGGTACCGACACCATTTTTGCAATTTTTGCAATTTGTGGAGTTGGCTTGGCTGGGGTCAAACTCGCACTCTCTCTAATTGTAAGTGCAGACGTGAGTCTACACTCTTAGTTATTCGGCTATCCCTGCTCCGCATTGTGCATGTGCAGTAGGTTGAATTAACTGATCTGTATACTGATAGGAACATTCTGCTTTCTACTGTTTGAAGAATTTTAGAAAATCGTCACCTTTTCATGAAATCTGACAATTTCCTGAATCCACCAGTTTTATGTGGCATTGTTGGGATCGAGAAAGTCCGGAAAGGCGACGTGGCGGTCTGGCCACACAACACCAAGCATGATCTTTGTGTCTTTCGCAAGAGGGTATTGATTCTAGAATGAATCTATTACGATGTCAACGTTTTTCAGTAACAGTGTGAGTTACGACTCCTCAAAGCTCAAAGAGCATGATTTTATACTATTAGTTTATATATTAGATTTATGTTTCGATTGTGTGGATGTTACTCGCGAGATCTTAATATACTTATGCTTTTTAATATTTTTATTATCGCACAATCATGTCCTCGCGATCATAATGCGATGTTTTCGATCGGTACTACGAAACTCCAAGTTCTGAAGTCGCTGAATGTCGCAACAGTTACAAATTTCCGGCTTTTCAAAGCCTTTCATTCAAAATGTTCTTACTCTCTGCTGTACAGGTTCGTTATGGCTGAACCGCTTTACTGTTCACCGTTTCGACTGAATCGTGGACTTCAGGACCTGAAATAAGCTCCGTGACTGACATGACTTACCCGACCAAGCGCCTAAACACGCAAGGCTAGTTGCAACAATTCCCGGAAACTCGAACTTCGAAAATCTCACAGCAAAGTGACCAACATTCTGCGGTTGCGCCAGCGTTACGTCCCACTCTATGTGAACAACAAGGGACCATTGAGACACCATTTGATAAGAATTATGCGAGTGATCTCAAAGCTTACAAAAGGGAATGAATGGCAAGAGTTCCCTTGTTATAGCTAAGCGCTCAGTTCGATTGTTCAGCCTTAGCTTTTTTGCCTCCAGTGCCCTTCTGTTACCGATTTCATTCTATGATCTATGAAGTCTAGCATTTTGCATTCGGTGTCGAAATTATTGCCTTGATGTCCTTCCAGTCGGTGCCTCCCAAATGGTGTTTTTGGACTTCCACACTTTTTTGTGCAATCTTTTCGAAACGGACAAATGACACAGTTATCCAGAGGGCATGCACGGTCTTTAAGCCTATTGCGGACTAGTTGACGTTTGATATTGTCTCCCGTAGGTTTATCAGGCCAACATCATTGGCCAAATCCGCTCGTATTATGCATTGTCCGATCTCTGCGCTAATTTTGTCTGATAAAGGAGGGAGCCGCAAACAAACCATATCTGTCAGCATTTCTCGGAAAATGTGAGCCTGATCTTTCGTGCTGTGTCTGTCGCCGTTTTGTGCATATTACTAATAACTGCATATTCTGGAGCTTCAGTGTAGGCAGACTTTGCGTGGAGCGAGATGTTCTTCGAGCTGTTTTTTCGATACCACTTCACATTATACCTGACACTTGAAATCTTTATCTGCGTGCTCAGATGAGGGAGCCAGATTTCATGCGGAACTCGTCTCGTGAACTTATGAACTGTGACTGTCGGTTCAGAATGCTAAATAATTCGTCCAACTTGTGCTGTGTTTATGCAATTACACAGCAGTCATCGATATACCGACAGTACGAAGCGAGCATGCGCGCTATAACTGGCCTTTCTATTCTGCTCATGAAACAGATAGCTGGAATCGGTGCCAGCCCCTGACCCATAGCCGGTCCTCCTCTTGGGTGAAGTACTGCCCGCTCCACTCGATAATATCCGGCAGTTGTTGCAACTAGCCTAAGGTGTTTGGGCGCTTCGTCGGATAAGTCACAGATTAGAATGTTCGGACTATTTTCAGGTCCTGAAAACGACGATTCAGTCAGAACGTTAACCAGTGAAGCGGCCCGGCCATAATAAACCTGTACGGCAAAGCAGTAAAAAACACTATTTAAAATGCCCAGGTTTTAAGAAGACCGAACGTGAATGTTCTATATTGAATACCCTTACCTGAATCGAGCGCATCACTTGGTCCTCACGCTCCCATTCTATGAATCGAGCTCCCTGAAGAGAAATCATTACTTTCGTTTCCATGAAACTTTATCGCAACAATCAGTCTTGTGAAGATGCGTGCAGTCGGCAAAGTTGGTCCTCATGGCCTTGTATCTAGCCGTAAAAAGGTTTCGTAATAATTATAATGTGCTACCCAATTTAAAGTAAGCAAAGCCAATCCCATACATGAGCGGCTACATGCATCCCTTGCCTGGACAAGGGCCAGCACGCATAGATGTAGATTGAGATGTGTGTTCCAATCACTCTACGATTCGCGGCAAATCTTAGTTGGTTGTCTCGTCGAACAAGATATTCTCGCTACCAGCATTAGGTAATCGTCACTTCACATTTCGCTATTAGTGACTACACATCGTTACTCACCAAGTAGGCCTTACACGCTTGTTGTTATCTATTAGTCATTTAACGGTATCTAGTTTCGTAGTTACAAGTAATGGACTAATGAGCCGTTGGAGACTGTAAATTCTGCAAATTCACATATTATTATGTTTACTCTTGGTACCACTAAAGATCCACTGATTCATATCAGGAAAGCGCATTTATTCATGAACACTCGAAACAACATTCATCAGAGCCATTGTACATTCGCATGCCAGGTTTCAGCACGTTCGGGTGCGAAGATGCGTTCATATCCTTTTTCTTACCATTAGTCTGAAGTAAAACCTTTCCACTCCAGTCTTGCTTACCTCTTTTATTGCCCTCTCAAAAGCATCGTGATCGACTTGAATTGCAGGATCATAAATTAATACGACCCGCATGCCCCAACTCTGTACTTCCTTCAAATATTCCGGCATTCCCACAAACTTCTGCAAGATTATTCTGAACTCCGTTTAACTGAAGAATATCTTTAGAGTTATCAATTGCAAAATGAAAGCTGAAAGGGTAAGAGCTTTGAATTGATATTGCTGGGTCTGCTCGAAATGTTTCTAACCGACACACTGAGCTTGTTTCGAGCGAGAGAATTTGCTTAAACTAGGCTCACATTCTTAAAGGCACTGTTTACGAAAAAATGGTTTCGTAGATTTGCACATGGTTTGAATTCGACGCCCCGTCTGATACCATTTGTGCAGGAACGAGGTCGGAAATGGTCTGGATAGGGCAGAATAAGGGGCCGGAAAGTGAGCCACGGTCGTTCTTCGCCCCTCGCTAGGCTGACTACGAAATCTAATTGCCGTAAATTACTTTCGCATTGAAGCGAAGTTGGTGAAAAATCGATAAGGTGGTTGGCAAATTGCTAGAGTCTGCTGGGTGTGCTGCGATTCGTGCGATTCTGAGTGCGCGCGGCAAATTGCGCGGCGAAATTCGGTGCGATTCGAACGATTCTGGCGCCTAGTATAGAGGCCCAAACTTGAAGCAGAATAGTTGGGTATGGTCAGCTGATCCTACTGATCTACACTGCTTCAAGTTTGTGCTCCAAAAATAGGTGCAGGAGTTGTTTGAATCATCGCAAATTTCGCCGCGCAATTTGCCGCGCGCACCCGGAATCGCACAAATCGCACGTCTCCCGAGTCTGCTAGTAAGATTGTCAGTCAAATTGGGTGTGCTGTCTGCTATTGCAGACATTGCGTCGCCTTCGTGCACTCGCCCGAACACTCCCTTAACCCCCGTTCTTCCAATGTGAACTCGTCCAACCCCCTTTCCAGCTCTTTTTTGACTCTTTCTATTTCTTTTTGTTCATCGTTTTTTGCGTTTTTTTCGTTGTTATCGCTTTATTCTAGAGTAATTCTATGAATTCCCGTCAAAAAAGAGTACCCTAAATTTTTCGTAAACGGTGCCTTTAAACTAGGCTCGCATCTGGCTATTGACTTGCTCTCTTTGATATGACGGTGTGAGATCAGGGACACGTGTGTCGAAGAACTATACGCTGGGTATGTGATTGTAAATCCGCTTTTTAGGGGGCTTCAGAATTTAAAATTGCCTGCGAATTACTGACTGCACTTCTCGACTAAGATACACAAACTGGGTGTAGGGAATCTCTTCTCCGCATTCCTCCTCTTCCTACTCCCCATCTTCGTCGTCACCTTACAGCTACGGAATACTGGGTATTACAATGGAGAATACAAATCAAACAAATCTGTGGAGAATGTGAACCATACTTTTTGCCTCGCAATAATGTTTTCTTTTGATTCGTCGAGTCTAGAACTAGCTTATAGACTTCGAGAGATCATTTGAAAGAAGAGGGTTTCGTGACTGGAACTGGATTAAGTGTCTTTTCCTCGCTACATTGCCCTAGTTTCCTCAAATAAGCATCAGATCCGTGCGATATTGACAAGCTCTATATTGTTGTTATGGCCCGATTCATGAGATGTGACAAAATGATAGGACATACCTCTCCAACTGTGAAAGTTTTATATCGGTCCATATAATCAATATCAACCACAACTGTTTCCAAAGGAACACCAGCTTCCCTGTTCCTTTCAATAATTCCCTTTAAGTGATCTAAATCTTTGTAACCATAGCGCGATAACTGATATCCAAAATTTAGTGATCCTTAAATTTAGGGGAAGAATGCCTACTTCATGGAGACATTTGTGGAAAGTAGCACTTTTCGAAGCATAACGGCTCACTTGGAATCCTAGCGCCCAGTTTGCCGGAAGAAAGGGGGTCCCAATAAGTGCCAAGTACTGCTGAGTAACTTCTTCAGGAGTTGGCCCCGGGAAGAAATACAAATCCAAAATTCCCCCAATCGTCCGATAGATTATTGCAGGACCTGGCAATGTCGTGACTTCCTGGAAATATAAGCATCGAAACAGCAGCTTACTGCTCGTTCGATAAAAGCAAAGGGAATACTTGAGCGTTACTGTTCAGAATAAATACTCCATGAGCCTTGCCGTCAGGTTCCATGACCATATAAAACGGATGCACTCCTTTAAACAGTTTTCAGATGCAGTAGTAGTGGAAGAACAAGCAAATGTTACCGTAGAGATTCTTCGTGCTAAATTTGCTTGAATCGGGAGGTTCATCTCTGGCGAACATACCCCATGTGCGATAATTTGAAAAATCATGCTGAAATAGATTTTTCTGCATAATTTTAGACCTGATTATGAGCATTGAATACGGACAGGCACCTTCAGAGTTGGGTGAACATTCTCGCCCCAACCATACATCGCATCCGAAGGCAAATAAGCGGCAATTTGTAGAAACTTATCGGCAAAGATTAGATTACCTATGGAGAATGCTTTTATTTATCATTATCAGAAGCAGTTCAATAGAAAAACACTCACCTGGAGAGGTATCAAAAACATGTGTTCCCGTTGACTCCCGTTTAACTATGAAATAGAAAATGTCATATGATTTTTGTTTCCAGAACTCCATCGTTCTTAAGCTCTTTGAATCGAGCTGAAACCCTCGGATAATCCTTATAGACTCTTCCATCTTTAAATGACCATTTAAATGTTCTCTATCGGCTAGAGGAAGATTGAAGGAGAAAGCTTACAAGCAAAGTATCATCTGAACTGGAAGGGTTTCTTGGTAAGCCAGTGGGAGGTTCGAATCTGTCAAAGCGATAAGTAAGCGAGAATTTACTACTTGATATGAATGTCTGAGTATAAGTATCAATACCGTCCTTCCGCGAATATTTTCACATTCAGTGTCTTCCCAATGTTTTCAATTTTTAGTTTAATTCTTTCAAAATCTCTACTCCATGGTTGATTGTCACGTTTTGCTCTTCTCAGTATTATTACCTGGAAGCAATTCCGTTCATACCGCCTTTTATGAAACCACTATAATGGAAAGTTTGCTATACATAGCTACTTCATCCTAGTGAGGGTTCTATGTATGTGATTTGCCTAGTTGGTTGTAGCTACCCCTCCTCTAAAGGTACAGCGTACTATTTACTGTTCATCTCCTTTATATTCTTTTATTTTGCGACGAAGAGTAATGAGATGATATATGCATAACCTTCTCTATACTTTCAGAAAGCAGTAACTCTTCCATCGGAACGATGAAGAGAAGTCGTCTCCTTGGTCTTGTAAACAGCGAGGCTCGGGCGGGCAGTACGGATGTCTCGGCAGCTTCGACCATTACTGTTGCTCTTCTCTCTTCCTTTTCTGCATAGCATCGCAAGTTCGGACACTAGTTGATGATTGCCTGCAGCTCACGTGGCTCGTCAGCTTGACAGTCTCCGAAGGGAGATGTCTTTGACAATTTGTAGACTTTCTGCTTTCTTAGCACTACGGTGAAGACGTGCGTGGGACATTGTGGGTAGAAATCTGACCTCGACTGGTCGTTAGAAGGACTCCAAAACTACACATCCAAAGTGGAGGTAATACGACGGCCTATTTGACGTTATTCATTCACACTGAAACTTTACAGCGCCGACTGCTACTCTCATGTGGAAGACACCCAACGGTCACATTCTCACTACCTCACGTTATCGCACAAACCCCCCCCCCCCATACTATCTCTTTAAAGCCTCGTATTTTTCCGCCGATTCTCACGCTTTCTTCGCCATTCTTGAACTTGCTGCATCATAACCTCCATTATTACACTTCATCCCAATGCCTCGCATTTATTGTGAACTATATCTTAGGACTCGGCAACTCTTTCTCAATGCTTTGAAAAACATAGTTCAGCGCTGAGGAAGCACGTCTCTGTGTAGAACTTCGTAGCAATAGCGGCGTCGATCAGGCAAAGCTTTCGATTGAAGATGATGTTATCTATTTCATATTAGAACTGCCTGCCATGTGACTCCCATGTCCATCGCGTAATATACGGCTTCTGGCGCTGCGAATTGTCATGGATGTTTCGAGACGACGAGGTAAACGGACAGCCTTTCGCTCTGCTGATTCTACCCCGTTCTGTGAACACGGTATTAAACTCTTCGGTCGTTTTTCTGAGACCGATCTTGGCGTTGGAATCACCGATGATGAGCTAAAAAGGGGTTTATTCCTTATCATAGAGCGGTGTTGGAGGCTTCCAACTCCCTTCACAGCTCGATTTTGGTGCGTAACAAAATATAGCTGACTGGAGTTGGAGAGTCCGTTACCGGCTGTCAAACCTTTGTACGAATCAGTTTTGACCCGTAACTTTCGTAGTGGCTATAAGCCGTTCTCACACCGGCATCCTGGTCGCTGTGATCAATAATTATTATCAGTCGTTATCCACATCAGTTCTTGGTCTGCCCGTATATAACTGTCCCATCTGTTACTCCTCTGGGAATGACTATCAATACTCAACTCTGGTGTGATGGGCAATCTTTATAATTTCTTTTGAAAAATATCGCTAATTCATCAGTGGTCAGTCGACTAGTCAAATATCCGCATTAACTTTATCAATCCAGCACATGATTTCCCAGTTGCTGCTTTAAGACATTGCGAGATTCCGTGTTTCGTGTCCAGGTGTTGTTAACCTCTTTCGTTAATGAGTACTTTTATTGTTTTGCCAGACTTAGCTCTGAACGATATGGCCCTTATTTTTTGAAATAATATTTTTTTCATGAAGACACAAGTATTTTCCCAGACAGATCACTCCCATTCGGTATACTTACATACAATTAGCCGGAAACAAGGAATCAACTCGATGTAACATGTTTTTTCTTATTACATCAGGGACAAGCAATTTTCGATTAAGCCTTAGGAGGGAAAGAGCGGCGGGGTAGAGAGATTTCAGTGTTTGTCCGAGGTAGTCGTCTCACCCTCCCCGGTGCTCCTACACTTCTGAGGCTTATCTGAAAGAAATACGCCCCTTGGCTAATATCATGTAAGAGCGCACAGATGGCCGCTGCCAATCCTTCTCATCTCCGATACAGTGCTAGTATAACATGCATTAAGACGTAAAGCCATGATAATACCTCTTATATCAATACTGTTATGCTTCCCCCCGCTCCCACATATATTTTCACCTGGCTTTGACCCTTAAATAACGAATTTGATTAGTACTGAGCCTTGTATCTCCTTGAGAAGTTCCTCTCAGAATCATATTGGTTTTATGACACTGCAACAAGGAGAGTAATTTTCAAATACTCACGGATCCATTAGTGCCCTCTTGTTCGTAGCCTATTTCATGCCCTAGGAAGCACCACGGTTGCGTGCTCTGGATACATATTTCCATCTTCAATATAAATAGAGGAAAGTATTCCACTTCCGTTTAGAAAACAGTACCTGCCAGTAAGGAGGCAACAGCCTTACCACCAACAGCCTCTTTCCTGACATTTATGCTTATCTGCCCCTTTTTCGGGATGACAGTCCATACGGGGTGCCTGCCTCCGTGTGTCTCCGAAGTCGACGAAAGCAAGCAATGCTGTTAACCACATCCTTAATCGGAATCACACATTTCTCTCAAAACTCCACAAGCTGTGGAATGAATGGAGCAGAGTGGAGGTTAGCTGAGATTAGTGCTAGACTAACTCACATATGCGATTGCTCAGAGACTAAATAAATGAATTCTACCTCCGCATAGAAAAAGTGCGTATCAGCCGTATAGGCCACGTTTCTCAGATATCACCTTTCTTGTTGAACATATTCACGGTTCTGTTCGGAGGGCTGTTTAAGTTCATGACCATAAATAAAAGCAGCTCATTCATAACAACGTGCCATTCAGTTTCATCTCCTTTTTTACGTACAAGAACGTCCACTACTACTCCTTCACTTCCAATTTCTCTTCCTCAACTTATGTACTTTCCCAAGCTTTGCCATCTTCGAAATCCACTGGAATTTTTTTCAAAAGCTATTCAATTTTGTTTGCCTTCTTCCAGTGCACCTTTGGATGACTTATCCTCTATCATTTATTTTAAGCCAGTTGAGCTACGCACGCTAATGCATTCATCGCATTCCCACTACCGCTTACCTACCATTTACCATTTACCATTTATTACATGCCAAACACATGTGCAGCATGTAGAAATAAAACAGCAGTTAACAACAAACCAAAACACAAATAACAATGAACGTTAGACAGAACATGACGATCTACATAACGGAAACTATGCCCTATTTATTGGCG